CAATGGGGAGCAGATGAGGGGAGCTGGAGGGACTACATAAACATGCCTTGAGGCCCTGGAGAAAACCTGAAGCCCCAGGTGAAATTCTAGAATCTCTGGTGCTGAGGAGGTCACCCTGGATACTGGGAAAGAATTTGGAAAACTTACCATTTTTGAACTCTATGGGAACATCTATAGAGTCAGGCTGGGAACCTCACATGAAGAAGCATCATCCACAGGATCCAGGGAATAAACCTCTAGGTAGGATTCTTAATTCCCAGGTAAAATTGCCAAAGGTATAGAATCTATTTTCTGTCGCTATGCAACACTGTCCCCCAAATACATTGGGTCATAAAAACTACCATATTTTTCCAAGTACCACCCATGGGTTGCTCCCTGTTCCTTGTTCATCACCATAAAGACATTCTAACCTGCTTTCATGCATTGGGGACCCCAGTGCGTGTAGAGAGAGCTGAACTAAGCCACAAGTCTACTTAGCCAACATGTAAGCAAATCTGGGAGGGTCTTAGGCCCCACAAATGTGCCTTTCCTATCAATCAAGGACAGTCACCCCTTTCTATCTCCCCAGCAAATCAAGTTAAAAAATAGGGTAAACTACTGCCTTTATTGGGAAAGGGTGACTCTGGAGTAAGGCATGGATTAAAGTGAACAAAGTAAACACACAGATTGACCAGAGAACAGGTGACACATCCACTGGTATCACAAGAGGGGCTGGAGAAGGGCAATTTTTACTTCACTTCCCCTTTAACTCATCTTGTTCTTAAAATGGTGAGTCCACTAGGTCCTAAAAGTTCTCTAGTCAAGAATAAGTGGAAGTGGGAAAAGAAAGCAATCCCAGGATCATGGATGCTTTTCATCACTATGACCAAAATACTGACAAAAACAACTTATAGGAGGGAAAGTTTATTTGGGGCTCATGGTTTCAGAGGTCTTAGTCCATAGATGGCCTACTCCATTGCTCTGGGTCTAAGGTGAGACAGCACATCATGGTGGAAGGGTGCAGTGAAGGGAAGTTGCTTCCCTTGTGGCAGCAAGGAAACAGAGAGAGGGGGGGGCTCACAGGGAAGATGCACCCTTCCAGAGCACATTCCCAGTGGCCCATTTCCTCCAGCCATGCCTCACCTGCCTATAGTAATTCCCCAGTCATTGAAACTAGGTTGGACTGATTAAGTCACAGCTCTCACAATCCAATCAAATTACTTCTGAATTTTCTTGCATTAACAGGAGCTTTTTGGAGATACCTCATTTCCACACTATAACAATGGACTAGCAGGAAGGATCTTATTCCTTGATTCCCTTGGTCCCTTGGGGTCCTCGGAGGATGGAAAGTTAACAGGCAAGACTTCCTACAGACAAAGCTTATTCAGCTCTAGGAGCTAAAGAGGATCCTGGAGAAACACCTGTTCCAAGGAATTTTCTACAGTCACACTCACCATGAGCCATTCCAGGGAGCAGAGGAAGGAGTGGGTAAATGTACCTATAAAAAGAGTATGATTTTTCTCCACCAAAAATAAATGAACAAATAAAATAAGGATTGGTTTCCATTCTTCTCTCTGAGACCTATGCTGTGCCAACACTTGGGCCTGGCTCCTCTTCTTCTTACCCTGCCATCTCTCCCTCTGCTTGGGTGCTGTCTGTGACTCTTCTCCACTGGAGTTGCAGGGTGATGAGGTTCCAAGAGAACAGCACATTGTTCTAGGAAGAACAGGGAGACCCCATACTTCCAAGTGGAAACGTGAGGCTGCAGCACAGCTGGAATGTATCAGGCTTTCTTGGGGCAACTGGATTGATTTAGTAAAGCAAGAGAATAGCTAGTTTTGTTTAAAAGATGCCCCTGGCACATAGTTTTAAAATTCTCTTTATTGGTGGTAGATGGTGGTAGGAGCTGCTTCACAGGTCGGGGGAAAAAAAACCAAAAAGGAACATGGTGATGACTGGAGGAAGGGGCAGCCCTGTCAGTGGCCAATGGAAGTGCCCATCTCAGTGGCATTAAAGTATATAGGGGATACTGGTGGCTCCTGTAGTTTCTACTGTGCATTCTCAGATCCAAAAAGAACAATGCCTAGAGCTTTCAGCCTCACAGAGAGCCCAGCCTACAAGGTGACATCAAAACTAGAAGGCTTAAAAGGAGTTTTTAAAAGCCATGACATCCTTTGCTGAAATAAACATTAACATCCTCAACACAGATGACATGGTTAAGAGTCTTTTAATGTCTGTGAAGTTTTATGGGATTAAACATAATTTCTCTGAAACATATGTGAGACTTGTGGCTGCTGTGTCTCTAAAACCTAGGGGTTCTCAATTTTAATTGGAATGCAGGTCATGCTAATGACTACCATGTTGGGCCTGGCATCAAGAGATGAGGGTGGGGCGATGCTGTGGTTGATATGGAGCAGTGGGCTGGCTGAGTCTCCTTCACTGCTGATTTTAGCTGAGGGACTCATCATTCCAAATTTAGACCCATCAACCATACTTGTTGGTCAGGATAAAGAGAACCCCAACAGATGCAGGCAATACATCAAGTCCAAGTGCTATGGATACCCTGAAGGTGTCTTCCTCTAGCTTGTGGTACTCAGTGATAGGAGGTACAGGGCTCACTTTGGACTTGAAACCAGATATCTGTGCTCTCATGATCTTCTGTCCCCACAGCAAGTGACATGCTAAAACTCTTGGCACATGGTCCCTCTCTCAGCACTGCGCCACCATTTTAAGGGGTGGTCCTCCCTATTCCTATACATTTTTAAAAAACCCTATTCTCTTGAACTCCATTTTCTCTTTAAACATTGCCCATTTCACTACTTCACTTTTCCACAAAACTTTGTAAAGGATTTGTTTGTATGCACTGGTCTAATTCTTGTTCTGTCATTCTCCTTCCAGTAGGCTTTCCACCTCCCGGAACCTCAGAGTGACTCCATTCTTTAACTAAGGTATAACCACTCAGCATAAAAGAAGTGACACCATTACTAGAGTGTGAAATTTCATGTGTATGCACCTGATTGCCAGAAACAATCACAACCATTACTCAGCTGAAAGAGCTGTTTTCAATATCAACAAAGAATTCCTCAGGACTTTGTTAGGAAGTGACAACAGGTAGGTGCTTATATTTAAAACAGCCTGCCAGAAACCATCACAGCATCAAAAAGGTTACAATTAAAGGGTGTTTACCTGATATACTAAAAAGGCTTTTGGTAAGTTTCAATGGATAGATTCCATATCCATATTTTTCTCCTATACCATAATCTAGCCTTTGTACATCATTTCCAAAGCCCTGTACAGAAGTGATAAGACTTCTACTGATCTTATACTTTTCAAGTTCCTAAGCTATTTGTAAAAATTTAGGGTGAACACTGAGTTTATTGACCATGAGTCTGCTATAATGGTATACCAGCATGCTTCTGAGCATCCTTTTGAGAGCATTACCTTAGATTTTGTTTTATAGACCTACTTGCTTCCAAAATGCACATTCTAACTAAATAGCATTTTTTACTTGGAAGTTAAAGATTGAGGAATTTGTATCTGTGAGGTAAAACTGCAACCTTCAAATGCAATCCCTGAGTCACAGAGAAACTTGCTCTCTCTTGACCAAACTGAAGTCATCATAATTTTTACTTCCACAGAATGTTTGAGAAACTTCACTAAGAAACTGGGATTCTAATTAGAATAAGATATACTCCATTGTTGAATAAAATTTCAAAATATATTTTAGTCATGTATAACTAAAAAAAATAAAAAATAAAATAAAATAAGAAATTTTTATTTTATTTTAAAATATTTAAATTTTTATTTTAAAAATTTTTTATTTTATTTTAAAAATAAAAAAAGAAGTTGAATCTGTTGTTCTCATTGGAAGTCACTGCTGCAGTGTTTCTTAGTTCTGACCTTTACTTAATGTGACTTTGTGCTCTTTATTTATTTAATAATTTTTAGTTGTTGATAGACATTTATTTTATTTACTTATTTATATGTGATACTGAGAATCGAACCCAGTGCCTCACATGTGCTAGGCAAGCGCTCTATCACTGAGCCACAACCCCAGCCCCTCCAGCAGTACTTTTTTATTTTTTAAATTTTTTAACATTTTAATATTTTTAGTTGTAGATGGACACAATACCTTTATTTATTTATATCTGGTGCTGAGAACTAAATCTAGTGCCTCACACGTGTAAGGCAAGCGCTCTACCGCTGAGCTACAACTCCAGCTCCTGTACTCTTTACTTTTGAACTGCCTGATATCCCATAGGTGTTAAAAAATCTCCTTTATCAAGTTTTTTTTTTCAAGTTACTGGTACAGAACTGAATGATGGGAGGCCAGAGGATAGAGCATGCTATTGGGAGGAACTTAAAGAACAACAGAGTCAGAAAGTCATGCTTAGACAAAGCAAATAAAGAAAGGTCAATGTTAAATGCCAGAAACACCAGATGTATATACTAAGATACTAAGTAGTATGTATATATATATATATATATATATGCATTATTTATATATTTTATAAATAATACACACATATATATATAAAAGTGTATATATATACACTTTTATATATATACTTTTAGTATATATATATATATACTTTTAGTCTGTTAATGGCAAAAGAGTTGGGAAGAAATGTATTATAACTGTCAAAATTAAGAAGAAATCTGGTCTATCTATGACTGCTTTTAATTTTTTTTTTTTTTTGCAGTACTGGGGATTGAACCCAGAGACTCACAAATGCTGGACAAGCACTCTCCCACTGGGGTACATCCCCAGATTATTTTTATCTGCTAGTCAACAGTGAACTGATAAAAAGGTAAAAGCTGACAGCAAGCACTAAACCCCAAGCTTAATACATAGTAAGTAGTCAATAAATCATCTTTCCTCTTCATTTCCACCTCCCTGATCACGGGTGACTTCTTTAGGTCCAATCACTCAGCACAGAGTAACTTAAAGAACGATTTACCCCCTAATAAGTTATGTGATTTACCCCTCTACTAGAGGGAGAAATTTCATGTGCACATACCTGATTGCCATAAACATACAAAAAGTGGCTTCGTGGATGAAATACCATTCCAACAGGAGAAGAAAACGAGGGAGGAAATAGGAAAGGTGGAAACTTTGGTGTGGAATTTGGGTTGTTCTTGGATATGGCATTCACAGAGGCAATGGTAGTTTTCTCGAGCTAAATAAATAAAATATCAGGAATTTGTAAGAATTTGATCATTATTACTAGTCCACATTACAAACTTTAGACCTGTTCTTAGATTTTGAATAAGATAGGGACATACCTCTCAACACAGTATAGAACTGGAAGGATTAGCAATCATTGATATTTCTTTACTCCACTGCCCTCCATTTTACAGTGTTGAAATTAAGTTTAGGAGGCAAAAATAATTTGTCTAAAATTTTATAATCAATGGCACAGAGAGTTTATAGAATTTTTCCTGAACCTGGCAGACAGAATCAAGTGACTGTGCTTATAACTCTCATGCCCAAAGTGTGGATGCCTGAGTCATATCCTAATTTTCTCATATCATGATCTTGAAGGGATCAGACTATGACATCCCAAAATACATCACTTTGGAATAATTTTAAGCTAAAGAGACTTTTGGAATTCAACTGATGCAGAAGGAAAATCTTTCTCAGAGCTTCCTTTTCTGACTAAAAGCAACTTCTGGGAAATGACTGTAATAAACTTTTCTTCAGAGCAGATCTACTCCCAGAAAAGAAACTGAAAATAAAACCTACCCTTGTGGGAGATACCTAGATGGACAAACGTTATCTAACCTTCTTATCTCCTGTTATTCTCTTGAAAACCAGTCATCTGTTTTCCCAAAACAAATGCATCAATTGAATCTCAATATCGTTCAGCTTAAAATTATCTTGACACCAAAGTGGCATATTTTGGGGTATATTTTTCCACTCACCTTTACCTATTAAACTATCATCCCCCAATTTTAGCCACCCTTGAAATTACTCATCACTGAGTTTCTCTCATATAAATGAACACTGCATGTGTAAACTAATAGGTGGATTAAGGACCTTTGGAATAGAAAACATAGACATGTGGCAACAGGTCCCATTGTCTGCACATCTTAACTAACCACTTTATGGAACCTTAAATTTATAAGGAAAAAACTATCAGCTTATATTCTCCTGGAGAACTAATTGAGATTCATCACTCTGCCATTAGCATCATGGTTTCCACCGTCATCAAATGGAACAGTCAGAGGTGATGAATCTCTAAAGTGTCAAACTGTATTCTTCATTGTAAATAATTTTGCTGTAGCCAATTTTATCATGTTCTATGGCTAAAGATAACAAGAATTTGGAGATAGCTTTTGATAAGGTAAATTTGCATTGTGGGAGAATCAGGAGCAATCACCTGGGCTATTAAACCTACCTTGTCGTATAAGAGGTAAACTCCAGCATCACGCTCTTGGTCCATGAGAAATGTTAACACATTTGAGCGCATATAAGTTGCTATTCTATCTTGGTCAGGAAAGCAAGGAAACCATTCAACAAATGGTTCCTTACCAAAAAAACAAGAGCTCGACTATAAAAAGAGAAGGGAAAAGTTAATGCTGTTTTAGAAATGTAAGTCATCATAGTAAAACAAACTAATGAACCATTGTGTTGCCCTAACTAATTACAAATCAAATGTTTAAATCTTCAAAGTCTTTGCTTCTTTTCTAAGGGAGATGAATCCAGGAAATATTGCAAAGCATCTCTTTCTGGTACAAATTATTTGTCAAGAATCATTGTGTAGACCTAGATTTAACATAGTTAGGGAACTGCTATTAAAGCTAATCAGACCCACCACTGGGAGTATAGAGTGACTAATTGCTAATCATTTCACCACATAAATTCCATTTTTTGGATTAATAACTACCCATGAAATCATGCATAACAAAAATTCTTACCTTTTAAAATATTTAATATCATACCTCACTTAGAGTCCTATTTCTGTCAAAGGTGATAGTAATATAATCAACTATAAAATATAAAGGTATAGGAATTATGAATAGCATATATATTTCTAGAACTAGAAGGGTTAGTGTTAATAAAATAGTCTTCAAAAAATAATAGATGTTGGGCTGGGGTTGTGGCTCAGCAGTAGAGGGCTTGCCTAGCAAGTGCAAGGCCCTGGGTTTGATCTTCAGCAACACATAAAAATAAATTAATAAAAAAAGGTATTGTGTCCAACTACAATTAAAAAATAAATATCAAGGATGTGTTATCAACTTATACTAAAATACAGATTTTTTTGCAGGTGTGTCTATTGTCTCAAATTTAAATTAGTTTTTCCCTTTATTTTAAGCCATTAATTTGTATAAATCAAACTTATCTTTACATTTTATTTTATTTTGATGTATGCCATTTTATTTAATCTCTATATATCATCTATATTGAAAAAACCTGTTAATATATAGTTAACTAAAATTTACCTTCAAAATGTTCTTTGTTGGCAAAACATCTTTCATTATACCATAATTTTCCTTTGATATAATCAACCTATAAAAATAAATAAATGAAAATATCACTTAAGTAACATGTAAACTTAAGCTACAGAAAAAAAACTTACCAAAAAATTCCAAGGTTTGATAGTTCAGGGATGGGAGGCAAATAGAGAGGAAAACTGCATGCAAATGAACTAAAAGGTTGTAGAATGAAAATAAGAAGCTAGAATGCAGATTTTGAACAATACACGCAAAAAAAGGAATACAAAGAGGAGAAATTGCACGACTTAGTTTGCATTATTGAAGATGCTATTGTCTATGACCCATCTTTCTGAAGCTAGCATCTGCCCTTAGTCTGTCATAAAGGGTTTATCTTTCATTCCGAATTAGCTGCAGCTGGGTTTAAGGAGCCTTCACGGATGCCTGAGTGCAGCAAGTAGCAGCAAGAAAAAGGTATTGAAAATTGGTCATGAGAGAAGCTTCAAAGGAAGTGAGATGGTATGCACTGGGTATTCCTTATATGCAATTTGAGATGATTCTGTTACAAGAAGATTCTGACTTTCAAATTATTGTTGAGACACAGGGAGACTTTCTTACACTTTTATAGACACAGTAATAACATCTATATCATCTGTGCATAAAATCCTTTTAAATATTCTAAAATTGTGGTGATGGTTAGACAACTCTGTAAAAATACAAAACAACATGGAATTATACAATTTAAAAAGATAAAGTTTATGGTATGTGAAATATGGCTCAATAAAAAATGGTAAGAAACACACAGAAGGTCTTATAAGATGAAACAGACAACAATATATTTGGTGTTCTACTGCCATTCAAGTTCAGGTATTATAATCAAATAAAACTTTTTGAGTTCTCAGATAAATCTTCAGATTTGCAGGATACAGTAATTATCATTATAATATCTGGGCAGTTAATATAAAATCTTTATTGGGCCTTGAAATATTTCTCTTCTCCTGGGCATAGTGGTACATGCCTGTAATCCCAGTGGCTAAGGAGGCTAAGACAGGAGGATATCAAGTTCAAAGCCAGCCTCAGCAATAGTGAGGCATTAAGCAACTCAGTGAGACCCTGTCTCTAAATAAAATGCAAAATAGGGCTGGGGATGTGGCTCAGTGGGCAAGTGCTCTTGAGTTCAATCCCCGGTACCCCCTGCCCCTCCACCCCCAACCAGAGTTGTATTCTTATTCTGCCTTTTTAGATTCTTCTGGGATTTAAAAAAGAAAACAACTTGAAATCAAACAGCCCTGTGATTAACCTTAGGGATAATTTAATCCCAGGATATGCTCATGATCCAGGTCTGACCTAAAGTCACAGGATTGGTTAGGTATGAACGTATAATCTGAGTCATGTGAATCGTGAAAATCAGCCTTAAGATGCTTGGGTGTCTTAATTCCTATTGGGATTGCTAATTTGGTTTCTGCAAACATGGTGGCTAACATAAAGGAAAGCAGGATTGTGGGAGGCCAACCTTACAGGTGACTGAGTTACACTCCCCAGCTGGGTGCTGAGGCGCTCAGTCACAGAAATGGATGTGTCTTGCTACAGCCCCATGGGTGGAGCTATGCTCACCTGTTCCTTTGTAATATAACCCCTTGCCCTGTTTAGGATAGAATCTTCCATGGAAGTGCCTTGTGTGTGTCCCCTTCTCTTACTGTGCCCTTGAGTGTGGCCTACCCAGATGTCAGTCAACCTGCTGACAGTGGACATCATGAAGACAGCCTCAGCCCCCTGAAACCTGACCCCTTGCCTCATTTGAATAGCTTCTCCTCAATAAAAGGGGTCAGCGAGTGCTCTGGCTCTCTCTCTTTCTGCAGACCCTTAAGGTCAGAGGAGCCGTCACAGCAACCCCAAAGAAAAAGGTATTTGTGTCTCTTGTGTGGTTATTTCATGCAGCCCAGTTAGCCCAGTTTAACTAGAGTGACCCCTGAGCCTTTTAGTCGTGAGAACAGAAACCTGGCACAGGACCAAAAGTTGAAATGACAGAGTCCTCCAGATATCTGGTAGGGAGTGAACCCAGTCATGTTTGGAAGCCAGCTTTATCCCTTGAATTCCATATCTACATGAATGGATGACTTTCTCTCCTTTGCTAAAATTAGCTTTAATTTGGCTTCTGTCATTTGTCTTCAGAAAGTTCCTGGCTATCTGCACTGGAAAAGAATCTAACTACCTTTTTTAAAAAAGTAAATTTTATTATTTATTCTTGAGCTTTATAAAATGATGTTATGGGATATATAGACAGTAAAATGTTTACTAGAGTGGGCTATCTTTTTTAAAAAACAGCTACACTATATTATGTACTATGCTAAGATTTTTATTTAACTACCTTCTAAGAGATAGATATATTTTTGCCCATTTTAAAACAAAGAAATTGAGATCCAGAGAGTTATACAACTCGTTTAAAGTTATATGCTATATGGTAATAAATTAGCCAAAATTTGAATTCAGTCTGTCATTTATTCACTCATGGATTCATCAAATATTTACTGAAACTTCCCATGTACAAGGAAATGTGGTAACTGATTAGTAACAAGATAGCCCTTGGCCTGGAACCTAAAATCTTGGAACTAACCAGGTGTCTACACAGACAAAACAGGGAGTCGAACGATAGGAATCAGTGCTGAGAGCTTTGCGAGTGCACGGGAGGGGTACCCTGGTGGTTAGCGAGGGACTCCTGGAGAGTGAGAAGAAATTTTCTAAACAGAAAGAGTGAGAGGGAGTGCATGCTAAGAAGATAAAATATGTCCTGCAAGAGACCTGATTTGTGAGAAGTGTGGGCACATTAAGGGAAGGCAAATATCTGGGCATAGCTGGAGAGATGGCTCAAGGAGATGAGCAGGCACAAAGGATTTTGTTATTTCACAGGACTTTGAATTCCATCCCTAAAGAAGTGACCCAAAGTCCATACTATTTCTATTTAAACACATTTTTGTGGGTAAGTAACAGATTTTGCCTCATGCCAATTTCCCAGTTTAGAGTTTTACACAGGGTGTGGATGTGCTGTGTCAATTATTCTTTCAAGTTATTCAAGCTGCTGCTAAAGTTTCACCTCTATGGAGAGGGATGCTCTAACCCTCCTCTTTTAAACAGAATATTGTTTTCCCTTGAATCTATTTTTCTCTCATTCTGCTTTAGTTTAAGCACTTACAACTATCTAAAAATCTCATTATATATTTGTCTGTGTACTGATTTATGATCTAGTTCCCTCAATAGAATGCTAAGCTATGTAAGAATAGGGACTTTACCTTAGGCACTGTGAAATAACCACATGTCCGAACAAGCATAGATTATAGTCAGTGATAAAAAAATTATTGAATGGAGAAATCACCAAATATGAACTACTCAACTACTGCCACAAAAGCCACATATATCCCATGCCTGACATCTTTCCTCCTCCAGTCAATCTTTACACAAAAGGTCTTATCCAAAGGTAAATCCCTATACCTTTAAGAATAATTTCACTTTTTCCCTTTCTTTCCTCCCTAGCCCCAATACCTCCCTGTTTTCAGAAAACTTGGATTTCCCTCCTTTTATCACTACCACACCTGAGATTTGTTGAGATATTTTGTTTCAATAGGATTTGTTATAAATCCTTATAAATGGTAAAAACCTCTATAAATGGAAATTTAAAAATTTAAAAAATATTTCATAAGCATTTCCCCCTTACTCTGCCAGTCCAAGTTTTAGTAGTGCATTGTGCCAATATTGGCCACATAAAATTAATAGGAACAAAACTATTAACAGCAACATTGTATCAGCAAAGAAGTGGAAAATTACACAAGCATTCATCAACTGGGGACAGGTTAAATAAACCCTGATAAGATGGCATACTTGTAGCTATAAAAAAGAAACAAGGGGAAAAAAAAAAAAGAAAAGAGGTCATTCTTCATGAACCAGTATGAACTTTTTCTTGTGCTATATTAATAATGAAGAAAGTAAGTTATGTCTGTAGTATATGTGTATGTAGTGTAAGAAACCTGAGAAAAATATATAGCCCAAATTATTTGAATTTACATTAAAAACACTAAAAACATATGGAATGTTTACTTGTAAGGGACAGGGAAAACAGGCTGAGTATACACAGGTAGGCAGGAGTGAGACTTCTCAGTTTGTCTTTATATAACTTCGGTTTTTAATTACATGAATGTATCATCTATTAAAAAATAATTTTTAGATGTCAGAAATTCTCATTTCCCTTGCAACATGACATTTCTTTCTACAGACTGAATGTTTTTGTTCCTCCCTAATTCATATGTTGAAATTAATCTCCAGTATGATGGCATTTTCAGTGAAGTCTTTGAGAGGTGATCAGGTGGCTGAAACTTAGGTGTCTTTATCTGATCCGAGGATGGTTAGATACCATTCCCTTACAGAAGAGAACCCAGAGATGTCTTGCAACTCTGCCATGTGCGGTTACAGCAAAAAGACATCTGTCTAGAGACCAGGAAATGACCCTCACCAGACAGTGAAATGGCCAATATCTTGAGATCAGACTTGCCAGCCTCCAGAACTATGAGAAATCTCTGTTCTTTATAAGCCACCCTCTATGGTATTTATGTTATAGCTGCCCAAATTGACTAAGACATCTCTGTTTCAAGAATCCTTGTCTAGTATATTACATTTTTACTTACGTAGACAGAAAACATATAAGTTGATATTAGACTCTCAAGATCTGTACTAAAACAGCATAGTATTTCTACATAACTAACATTCATATCCTCCTGTCTACTTTAAATCATCTCTAGATTACTTAATGCAATCTGAATAAGTAAATAGTTGTTAACACTACTTAGGATTAGGTAACAATGACAAGAAAATGAGTCTACTTGTTCAGTACAGATGCAATTCTCACCCCTAATATTTTTAATTTATAGTTGACTGAATATGTAGAGGTGAACGTGCAGACAGAAGGGCTTATTATACTTCCCTCTGTTCATTTTTAAAAAAATTCTAATTTGTGTTATGACAGCAGAATGCATTACAATTCATATTACACACATAAACACATTTTTTCATATCTCTGGTTGTATGCAA